GGCTTGGTTACGAAGCTCACGCAGCCGCTTCATGGTTATTTGTTGGTTCTTAGGCGGGAATTTTCAGTTCACGAGGTTCGCTGATTCAGACTGATTCTCTCGACTTATGCAAATTCGTCCGCGGTTCAAATAGTGTTCATTCATCAGATTTCCAAAACATGGATCAGACTTCCAGCGCACAAAGTCGCGGTAGTGCACCAAGCAATTTTTATTCAATGTCAGGAACTCCATCCCCTTATAGTGGTTCGAGTTCGTGAGTAAGTTCAGTTGGTCTGTCGTCATCTTCTGTCCAATACAGCGGATCTACACCCCTATCCTCACGAGACACAACACAGCAGTTGATCACTGGCCTGGCTGCCTACCAGAGGTCGATCGAGGAACTTCTTCAGACTGTGCGAAGCTCAAACGAGCGGATTGAAGAACTGGCCGAAAAAGTAAAAATCCTAGACGGCAGGGTAGAAAAGCTTTCTTCCCATCCCGTAGATGGAACTGAGAGTGGTTCTGGTGGACGAGGGGAAAAGAGAAAGAGAACAAAATCATCTCTTCTTGTTCAGGTATGTTTAAAAATTTTGACTGAAAAACCTTGGATTGCTGTTGTTTAACTGATTCCCTCTGCTAAGCTGACGTCATTTTGAAACGATCGAACAACGATGGAAATTTCTCTCATTTAAGACTACACCCTGATGGTAATTTGCTCATTTATATCAGTTACATGATATCGTTCAAAATCTCAGTTAAGCTTAATGAATACATGTCAGTCGGTGGTTAACTTTTTAATTTTAAAAGTTTAAGGGAAGCTGCTTGCTCTGACTTTTCAGTCGTTCTGTTGATCGAGGTGAGAAAAGTTTCATGTAAGCGTGATTAAAGCTTACAAGCTTTTGTCTTGGTACCGCTCAATTTGGGTCACTTAGATTTCATTTAGTTTGTGGAGTTTTCATGAGAGGCTGAACACAACCTGTTTGTGAAGCAAGTTGCTTGCTTTACCGTGAAAATGGAAGTTTATAATGTTGCACTGATTGCGGCAGTATTCAAATTTGTGTTATAGGAGGAGGTTCACAAGCTCCACAATAGCAGAGACCCCGCAAGGCAATACAGAGGAAGGGAATCGTGAGTAAAAATTAAATTATGCACTTGTTTAGAATTTAAATTCTGATAACAACCTAGTGCATGTATATCTATTTCCAAATCGCATGAAATTGTATATGATTCATGTAATGCCAGCGCGAAGACAAAGCCACACGCGGAACTCTGTGATTTTGTTGGCAACGTTTTGCCGCCATCTTCCATTTGAGGAAGACCTCTGAACTTGCCGCCTAAGTATTTTGTATAAAAATAGGGGCCCGTTTCCGAAAGTTTCAATCAACTTGTGCGCGCGAAAATATTCGAACCCGGTGAGTTCTCGTGCAGGACTTTTTTAAGTCCCGGCAGAAGAATCACTCATGGCAAGCTTTCTTGGGTAAGAATTATTCCCGCTAACTAAACCCTGTATCTGCTGTACCTCTGCACCATTTCCCCGCGCGTTCATAAGAAGGAAGCTGTTGACCAAAGGTCATGTTCACCGCGCTGCCAATTTTGCTGAAACTTGGCGGGGATTTTACAAACTGAACATCAGATTTTGGGGGATTTTGAAAGTATTCTAAGTCGATCGGCAGTGTTCGAAAGAAATTTAAGTGCTAAAAAACCCGAAATAAGGAAAGAAGTCAAATCAAAATTGTACAACGGAAATCAAATGGTAATTAAAATTTATCATGCAGGTTTTAGGGTATTTCTTTTTGTGGGATTGATATTACCTAATTAAGACCCCGTCCACACTACACCGGAGAAATTTGAAAACGGAGTTTTTACTCTGAAAACGCATCAAATGTTCTCCGTCCACACTCCGCCGGAGAAATTTGAGAACGCAACAATCACCAG